TTGTACTCGTTTTACAAGATCACGATCGCGCCGATCTGAACGCGTCCGCGGATGTTAACACACTCGTTTTACAAGAGCACGATTGCGCAAATTTTTGACTTAACATAATAGGCATCGTATCGTAACGTGCACGCGTTTATTTCCACTCGCGTGAAAATCCCAACGCGAAAGCGCGCGCGCGTAATCTCATTTAGAAAGTACGTGAAAATTAATTCCCATAAAATCCCTCCTCGTATAAGGCCTGTACTAGTAGGCGACCGCGGTGGCGCGGTATCGCCGAAAAACGGCTATCGTTAACGGCGTCAATTAAACGGTGGTACATTAAAGCCATCCGTCGAGATCGAACGAAGTTCGAGGGAAGTGTCGCCTATCGGAGGAGAGACTCTCTCTCTCTCTCTCTCTCTCTCTCTCTCTCGCTCTCTCTCTCTCTCTCTCTCTCTCTCTCTCTCCTCTAAATGCGCACGGATAGGGGTGAATGAGTTCGGTATCGACGCGACTAGATTACTGTCGCGAAAACATTGTCGCGTTCGTTGAACAGGAGACTCGTCTTGTACGCGAGTAAAATTCGCTCGTGCGCGGGCGACTAGCATCTTGAGCGTTTCCCTTCTTCTTCTTTTCGCGATAAAGGAGACATCACGGCTATGTTGATTACAGGTCGGTTTTTCCTTTTATTTTTCCTTTTTTGTCCCTGCAAATTATGGTTCTCTTACGCGTCATATCGATCCCGCTTCACTCAACATGTTATACGCACTGCATAGACGTGTTCCTCCCAATGATATATTTAAATCTTATGCCGTGCAACGAATATCGAATATGCAAGGTATCGCGTACACGGCACGGGAATATTTAATGCCGCGTTCACGATTGAACGGCTTTGTCATTAATGCGGGCGCCCCTCCCGATTAAACTTTGCCTGCCCGAAGTGACCTGTTTCGCCCTTTTATAGGCATCAGCGGTGACAATTAAGACGCACTCATGAAATATTAAACCGACCAATAGTGAACTATAATTTCTCAGCTAACGAGGCGCTCACCCGTTGATTAGGAGACATCGGTCCTACATGTAAAGCATATCGAAAAACTGAAATAAATATTCATATTATGATCACTGATAATTCGCCTATAGTGGTCTCGACTTATTATTACCCGTGAAATTATAATTATAACAGAGGAGCAAGAATTACTAAAGAGCCATATAATTCTGTGATTCGCCACGCGCTGCGTATCTTACGCTGCATTAAATTTGCAGAAATCTGATCTTTCATACCTACAATTTCATACCTTTTATAAAATTAATTTTCCTTGTGAAAGAACAATATTATGTTTAAATTGCAAGTAATATTTATAATATTGTTACGTTATATTTGAAAAATCTCATAATATTTGGTAAAATAAAATCTGCAGCATTACTTTGTAATTTGTGTTTTGCATTCTATATGATATCTGAAAATGTTCTCGATGCCTGACATCGAGACATGTTTGACATATCTGCATTGCTGCAATGTGTCATATCTCGAAAAATGACATTTTTGAGTTATTCATTGGAAAAGATGGATTTTGGCGTGTACTTTTATCTGGCGATGAATAACTCAAAATTGTCAATTTTCGAGATATGACACTATTGCAGCAATGCCGCGATATGACAAAACATATTGTAAATTATTGTAGATTAATACAGTAATCTATATAAAATACACACATTGCGGGATATATCGTTGACGCACTAATCCTGCACTAGTCCCGAATTCGATGCTAGGATCAGAAGTTGAAGAAGATAATTTTTTCATCTACTCTCATCTTTATTGCGCGCGCATGTTATCATTCCGAGCAATAATTTTCTAAGAAATAGACTCAGCAAAGTAACGAGCAAGATTGCCTAATAATTTCCCCCGATTTGCGTATCTCCCGAAAGTTTGACATATTCACGTTTAGTCTGGAAGAAGTTCCGAACTTTATTTGGGAAAGTTTGCGCGCACGCGCGCGCGCGCGAGAGAGAGAGAGAGAGAGAGAAATATGTACACGAAATGGTTGTGGCTGCGTGAATGCCGTGTTGAAATTTTGATGAGAGCACGGTGGTAAGGTGTTTCTGATGGGCGAATGTTGATGGTCCGAAACTTTTGTGGCATTTACCCTAAAAACGTCATTAGGCTTGATCGCGGACTTTCGGCCAGGAACTTTTTCCTTGACAATGTAAATTTCACGCCGCGTATCACTTAATACAGTATGAAGTTCAAGGATATTTTTCATTATCAGATTTGTTTGTATTATTGGAAATTAACGTCTTTTATATTCCACCGTTTATCGTACTGCATGAATTAACTGCATTGTTTACTTGCACAGTGATAATAAGGATCAAAAAGTCAAATTATATATAGCTTTGTTAGTATATA